TAGCAGCACAATTTGCAATAGCCAACTGCTTTACCCAACTGAAGTGACCATCAGTAAATGAATGGATAAAAAAACTGGCATATTTACACAATTTAATACTACACAGCAGAAAGAAAGAAGGAAGTTATACCCTTTTGCTATAGCCTGGGTAGAACTGGTGAGCATTATGCTAAGTGAAATAAGCTAGGCTGTGAAAGACAAATACCATATGATCACACTATAAGTGGAACCTAATCAACAAAACAAGCAAGCAAGATACAACGAGATATTGTAATAAAGAATAAACTCTCATTAACCAAAGAGGAGGATGGAGATATATAATAAGGAATATTTGGGGAAGGGTCATGAAGGGACATATGTAAAGGACATATAGACAAAGCCAAAAGGGGTAGATTGAGGGTGGGAGGTGGGGATGAGGTTCGGGCGGCATGGTGGGGTGAAAATGGAGACGAGCAACAATAAAAAATGAAAAAATAAATGTTCCAGGAAATCCAGGAAGCTCAGAGAGTCCCAAAGAAGTTGGACCCAAGAAGGAACACACCAAGGCACATCATCATTACATTAGCCAAGATTAAAATGAGGGAGAGAATCCTAGAAGCAGCAAGAGGTAAGGGGACAGTCACCTACAAAGGAGTTCCCATCAGACTGTCAGCAGATTTCTCAAAGGAGACCTTACAGGCAAGAAGGGGCTGGAAAGAAGTATTCCAACTAATGAAATCCAAAGACCTACATACAAGTTTGCTCTATCCAGCAAAGCTTTCATTTAGAATGGAAGGACAGATAAAGTGCTTCTCAGATAAGATCAAATTCAAGGAATTTATCATCACCAAGTCCTTATTATATGAAATGTTAAAGGGACTTACCTAAGAAAAAGAAGATAAAAAAGGTGAACAGTGAAAGGACAGCAAACTCACAGTTATTAAGAACCACACCTAAAACAAAAGCAAACTAAGAGGATAGCTAGATCAGGAGCAGAACCATAGAAATGAAGATCACATAGAGGGTTAGCAACAGAGGAGTGGGATAAGGAGAAGGGGGGAGAAGGTACAGAAAATAAGTAGCATAGATGATATGTAGAAAATAGATAGGGGGAGGGCAAGAATAGTATGGAAAATATAGAATCTAAAGAACTTGAGACAGGTGGTCATAAACTAAAGGGGGGGGGAATGGTGGGGGAGGGGGTGTGCAGGGTGGAGGGGAATGAAGGGGGGAATAGAACAACTGTAATGGCATAATCAATAAAATATATTAAAAAAATAAATGTTCCATGTGCATTTGAACAGAATGTGTAATTTTCTTCTTTGGTTGGACGGTTGTACATATATATCGGTTAAGTCCATTTGTTCCAGGGCATTGTTAAATTCCACAATCTCCTTATTAATATTTTGTTTGGAAAATAGATTCATTTTTGTCAGTAGAGTATTAAATTCACCTAGTACAAGTGTGTTGCTGTGTTTATCTTTTTTCCAGTCCTCCAACATTTTTCTTATATATTTGCGTACGCCTGTGTTTTGTGCATATATTTTTATAATGTTTATGTCTCTGTGATGGATTTTTCTCTTGAGTTTTATGAAGTATCCTTCTGTGTCTCTTTTTATGGCTCTTGTTTGTAAGTCTATTTTGTCTGGTACAAGTATTGCTACCTGGGTATTTTTTTCCTGTCTTTTTGCTTAGAATATTTTTTCTAGCCCTTCACTTTCAGTCTGTGTAGGTCTTTTGTTCTGAGGTGGGTCTCTTATAGGTAGCATATGTGATGGTCATGTTTTCTTATTCATTCAGCTATCCTATGTTTTTTTATTGGAACATTTAATTTATTTACATTTAAGATTATTATTTTAGGTACTTATTCATTGCCATGTTACTCTCTTTGTACCTGTGTTTTTCTCTCTCTTACTCTCTGCCTTTTTTTTTTCTTAAAGTAGTCCCTTAGCATATCTTACAGTACTGGTTTGATAGAGGTGTATTCTATCAGCCTTTCTTTTTCTGGGAAACTCCTTACTTCACTTTCCATTTTAATTGATAGCTTTGCTCGATTCAGTAGTTTTGGTTATGGTCCTCTGTTTTTCATCACTTGGAATAAATTTTGCCATTCCCTTATGGCTTATAGTGTTTCCATTAAGGAGTCAGCTGCTAGCCTTATCAGGGCTTCCTTGTATGTTCCTTCCTGTTCTCCCTTACTGCCTTTAAGATTCTCTTTTGTCTTGGATTTTTGCCATTTTAATTATGATGTGTCTTGGAGTTGGGCCTCTTTTGATTCCCTCTTGATTGGTTCCCTCTCTGCTTCCTGGATTTGTGTGACTTTTTCTCTCTTCAAATAAGGGAAGTTTTCTATTATTACTTTTTCAAGCAAGTTTTCTATTCCTTGCTGTTCTTATTTTCCTTCTGGTATCCCTATTATACGGATATTATTACGTTTTGTGTTTTCCTTCAGTTCACTTAACACCTCTTCATTCTTTCTGAGTCTCTTTTCCTTTTCTTGCTGTATCTGGGTGTTTTTTTTTTCTACCACGTCCTGCAACTTGCTAACTCGATCCTTTGCTTCATCTAGCCTGCTTCTCATTCCTTTACTGTGTTCTACAATTCAGAAATCATATTCTTCATTTCCTCTTAGCTCTTGTTGATTTTTTTCTATGTCCTTTTTCATATTGATATAGTTTGCAGCAATTTCTCATTGTTTCCCTGTAGCTTTTGATAATTCTTAGAGAGCTCATGGAGCTTCCTCATAACCATTGTTTTGAACTTAATATCTGATAGTTAACTTGCCTCTATTTAATTTAGCCCTGTTTCTAGGATTCCTCTTTTCCTTTCATTTGGGGGTTGTTTCTTTGTCTTCCCATTATTTGTGAGATGTTTCTTTTTTGCCTCTACTTCTTAAAATGATCTCTTTTGACTCCTTGAGCTTGTGGTGTGAATATCTATGGTAGAGAACCTGTGAGATTCCATGGTTAAGTCTCCTTGATCTCCTGAAGTTCATGCTCTTGGGATGCCCTTTATGCCATTTATGTTGGCTCTGTGGATGTATTTGGGTTTTGATTGTTGTTTTGGTAATTATTTGGTAGGTCCTTCCCTGCAGTTGGTTGACTGAGAGTCACTCTGCCCACCATGTCTTGTGTGCTGTTATGTGGGTGCTACCAGAACAAAACCACAAAGCCCAAGGAACAACCCCCCTTTCACAATAATATCTCCCCCATGGAAATCCCACTATCAGCAGCAAATGAACCAGTATTAATAAGGGTGTAAAGAGATTAAGACTATTATAAGAGAGGAATAATCTATAGTATAAAATGTAGTGACTTAATGTGCTCAAACTTGCTGTACAAGAAATGAATGTTAAAAAGCTATGCAGGAAAGAAAATATCACTAATCATGGAGAAGGCCACAGTGGATTTTGTCTCCTTAGCCTCTAGTATTTACCACTTGTTTTTATTTTTGGATCTGCCTCTGGTAATATCAGATGTTGAACCCATCTGACCTTAGGCAGCCTGCTCAGAGACTGCCAGGGATCTACTGTCTGTGGCTGTCTCCTTAATTTGTTAATCTAGCTGCTCTGCACTCAGCAGTGAGGCTTAAACCCCACAAGGTGGGATAGAATTCCTCCTGGGTTTGGGGCTATTGTTACCCCTACAGCTGCTGCTTCTCATAGGGGAGTGGTCTGCCTGAGCAGGATGGCTGCTGTCATGTAGGGGATGACTCAACACTGGAATCCTGGTGTCTATCTCTCAGCTCTCTTCCCAAAGCTTCCTTCCCCAGTATCTCTTTAGGCATCTCTACCCCACTCTGCCCTTTCATTTGCCAGAGCCCAGAGTAAGTGTCTGCAATGAAAATTTGTGAGTTGGCCCTTAAAAAGGCTCTTTAATTCTCCAACTGTCTGTCTCTTTTCAGCAACCCTGCCACTTTTCACGCTGGTTGCTATCTGTGTTCTTTTTGGGCCTTGGTGCTCTAGGCTGGGAATCACAGTTTAGGATTTAGACCCCATTCTTCTCAGGGAAATCCAATTGTACACTTAATTATCCCTTCTTTGCTGACACTTGTAGGGGCCCAGTCAGCTCTCTTGATCCTCCAAAGCACTCCTTACCAGTTAGTCCTGAAGATAATATTTCTGTCTGTCCAAGGTTATAAGGCTTCTCTCTTGCTATTGTTTAGTTTGTTGTGGGTAACTTCTCCACAGTTTGGTGGTAATTCCAGATTGGTCCTGGGAGAGGGTTAGTGTGGCTTCCATTCACCCCTCCGCCATCTTTCCTGCTGTTAAATTCTTTTACAATATTATAACCAGTGTATAAAAATGGATTGGTTTAATAATGAGCTGTTCATAGTTTCAAAAAATTTTAAAGGATTTTGCTACAAAGAAGGGAATAAAAACTGATTCAAAGCAAGACATCCTCATTTGTTGCAAATATAGGTGGATTCAAAATTTTACCTCACTTTAAGAAAGCTGTGATGTTGAACCAAAGAAAGTTGTAATGGTTTAGTGGACCAGTGAGTAAGTCTAATAATACTATCAATTTTTTTTCTGTTTTTCACTGCATGAAGAGATCTTTCTCTTTGAGCTGGGACAGTACCAAAGGGAAGGAAGACAATATTATCATTGGCCATTTACCACTAGTACCACTTTGCATTCTTCAAATTTTATTTTTCTCTGGAAACAAGTCTATTTCTTTACTCCCAACAAGATTTCTCAGATTTCTCTCCTATTAAGTACCCAAGTAGAAATCCTTAGAAAGGCCCCCCTCAAAAAAGCAACAGAGGCAAAAATTATTCTCCAAATTAGTTTATACTTTTCATCAAAACCAACTCCTTGAAATAAATATAAACATAAAACAATGTTACATCTATTATGTAACATAAAATCTTTTTTCTTATCAATAAAAGTTTTAGCATGCAATATATTTTTAAGAATAACTGGGATGGAAGTAAAAAACAGAAAACTGTACTTGAACAATAATTAAATAAAATTTTTAAAAGATGTGTGTTTTTTTCATGTCCTATTCAAATAAATCACCTTAATTATTAGCACTGTTTTCCATGAAATTAATATTTTCAGAAATTTGGGGTATATGTGATATGTAAATCACAGGTTTTTAAAAAATATTTTATTTATTTATCTTTAGAAGGGAAGGGAAGGAGAGAGGGAGAGAAATATCAATCTATGGTTGCCTCTCATATGTTCCCTGCTGGGAACTGGCCTGCAACCTGGCATGTACCCTGACTGGGAATCGAACCACGATACTCTGGTTCACGGGCCCACACTCAATCCACTGAGCTACATCAGCCAGGGCTATCACAGGTTTTTTTTTAAATCCATCTTTTAGTGTCATGAGGGCTTCTTGTCCCACAGGGAAGAAAAATTTGACAGTGCTTTATTCTTGTCCTCTATCAATACATGGATGAGCTACAAGAAGGAAATGTTTAAAGGAAAAGATAAAAAGAAAAAGTAACAATGTTTCCTGCCACAGGACCCACTATTTGAATTCTTCTACTATACCCTCACCCCTACTTTGGGAATCTTGTGGATTTATTTCTACCACAGATTCTAATTTATCAGGGGGAATGTTCAGGGTCTGGTGAGGCCTTCATAGAAGGAATCTCCACCTTGGGATGGTGCAAGAGAGGCAGGTCATGGGGAGTAGGAGCACATGGACTCTCTTTAAGAAAAGGAATGGGAGTCTGCCTGCTGCTGTTTGTGAGACACTGATTGCAAAACAACACTCTCCCATTAGAGATGTGGGAGACTCAGTTGTGAAAATCAAGAGGCAGACTGTGAAACATCCATGGCTTTCCATGTGGCTGTAGTACTCATCTCTCTGGCTGCTTTCCAGATGGATACCAATTCTGCATCCTCATCTGTTCTGAGCTGACATAACTGGGTAAAATTCTCACATAGACCCTCCCTCCACCATCTATTAAATATACTAGTAGGTAAGAAGGGGAAATATGTAGAAATGATCATTAATTAAATTGACATTTGATTGTGTAGTAATGCATTTGAAAGGTTAACAGATTCCAGTATGAGTTGAAGTACCAGCTCTCAGATAAGTCTTCCTATCAGAGGAACAAGGGATAAATGCCATACTTCCCTTAGCTCTGAGGGTACTCAGAAGATTGGCAAATTCTTGTACATGATTACTTTTAAAAAACAATGGAGATATATTTTTTTAGTCTGTTTCCATCAGTAAGTCCCCAACAAGCTAATATTTTTTACCAAAGTGTGCACAAGATAACCTTCATGAAAGTACATTTCTCATCCTTTCAATAATACCATCATCACCATTTTAAAGATGTTTTTCATTTCTCAAAAAAGATTTTCTTCACCTTTACCCTATAGCTGAAGAATCACTTTTTAATTGTTTTACTATGCTTTAATCCTTGAGTTACATGACCTAAATATCATTATAATTTTTTACTTCATTCTGAAACACGCCTTGGCATATGACTATTTTGAACATTGCTAGAATATAGAAGAGTGACAAATGACTATGGTTTTTGAAATGCTGACTTCAGTTCTTACTGCACATGCAGGCAGTGAGTGGCAATTGTTCAAAGATTAAGCCTAATACAGATGTGCAGCTGAATGGGGCATTGACTTGTGGCAGACGAGTGCAGATGGGGGACAGAGGGTCATGCCTTTTTGTTGATGATAAGTGCAATGCTAAATAATGAATACAATGAAAATTAAGTGAGCATAATTTTTGGCATTATTGCTAATTCAGCAGGCATTCATCAATAGGAGCAGGTTTAATTAATACCTAATGCATATTACCTTAGATTATCTGACATTAGCCTGCTTGTAATGCTTTATTATATAGTCAGTTAAGTATTTAACATCTTCTCTATTGTCTCCACCAATTAAATATACAGCCACGTACCTCTTAACTATTAGGGATATGTTCTGAGAAATTTGTTGTTAGGAGATTTCATCCTTATGTGAACCTCATAATGTGCACTTGCACAAACCTAGATGGTATAGCCTACTACACAAGTAGGCTGTATGGCATAGTGAATTGCTCCTGGACTACAAGGCTATATAACATGTTACTGTGCAAAACAACATGAGATTAAATCAAGTATGAGAATCAAGAGTTACTGTATGAAGCTGCAGCCAGTGTGACACACTATGTTGTCATATAGCAAACTTTGTTTTATAAGTAGAAAGAGTACATTCTAAAATAATGATGAAAATGTAGTGTAGTAGACACATCAACCAGTAACAGTCACTTATTATTATTATCCAGTATTATGTCCTATACATAATGGATGTGCTATGCTTTTATATGACTGGCAGTGCAGTGTTCTGTACACCAGTATCACCACAAACACGTGAGTAATGTGTTGTGCTATGAAGTAATGTGTTGTGCTATGAAGTCATTAGGTGATAGTAAATTTTCAGCTCCATTATAATCTCATGGAACCACTGTTGTATATGTGATCCATTGTTGATGAAAATGTCATTATGTGGCACATGATTATAGGTCAAACCCCATTATTATTAATTTAAAAATTTCCAGGGGGTTGGGTAGAGAATGTTATGGAAAGATGCTCAGGTTATGAGCTTTTGTTGTAGAAATAATAACAATGACTAGTAGTTGTGAACACTTACTATGCTCTACAAATGTCATGCTCTAACAATAATAATTATTTTATTTAAACTTCATAACAGCACTATGAGATTAGATATTAGAATACCACTTTGTAAATAAGGAGACTGAGGACTGGATAAATTAACTAACTTTCCCAAGTTTCTCAGCTATTAAGTGAAAAATGTGGAGTTTAAACATAGGAAGTTGTATACCAGAACTGCCCAGTTATTTCTCCAAATGATCAGACTTGAAGATATTTTTCATGTATTCCTAACTCAATGATTTTAGAATTAAAACACATGGAAGTACCTTTGGAGAAAGAAAAGGTGTTAGAAAAGGATAATGTCAGAAGATATATCGAGGTTTGAATTCTTGCTCTGCCTATTATTGCAAGGTGATCTTGGGAACATTATCCCTCAGGAGCTTCAGTTACAATATCTGTGAAATGGAGCAATGGTAACACCATCTTGTTGGGTTGCTGAAATAATGCCTTTAAATGAATAGCACAGGGAGCTCATGTGTCTGTTCTTCACCCACTTCCAAATATGGCCAAAGAGGTAAAAGTTTTTCCCAATTATCTTGGTGACTAAGGGGCATCTCAAATTCTCTACAGCCCTAGCTCTTGTTGCAGCCTGTAAATAGGGAGTTCTGCACTGTTGGAGCTAAATGTCCAGCACAAATGCTTGCCCTGTTAAGGCTCCACAGAATGTTTCAAAGTGTTCTCAGTTGAGCTTCCCACTGTCCAGCCTTTGTAGTGTCATGTTGCCAAGATGGGATATATTCTCCAGAAGGTCAGAAAGCAAGGAGAAACATTCTCTTGGGCACAGGTTATCCAACTGGTCCCTTCTTCAGATTTAATGGGACCTCCTCTCTGTCAAGAGCCCTGAAACATCTGCTGGTGAGTGGTACCTTAACTGCCTCTAAGGAGGCCAATTTCCTCCCACCTCCATCCCCCTGCCATTGGGTCTCTGATTAGGAGGTCAGTATTTAACTGTTTCAAGCTTCATCAGTCTTGTCAGCTTCATACACACAGTCTCAGAAGAGGTGAGTTTCTTATTTACAGACACATGTCTGAATCTATTGCATCAAGGTCATTGAAGGCACCTGGATTTCTGAATTAACTACAGCAAGGTAAGACCAAATACTGACAAGAGAATTACTAAAACTGGGACATGCATTTCCTTTGCTCCTGACTATGTTATTTTTGTTGAGCATGGTGTCTTTTTAGAGCAGCAGTGCTTGTATAGGTTCTCTGCACTCTGCAGAACTTAGAAACAGGGTTTGATGAGGAAGGAGAGGTCCCTAAAAGGTTCTTGTCATTTTGAGGACTATAGTGCATGAACAGTTTCAGGCTGTGACTCATCCCATGGCCATGACCACTATTAGCCCAAGTCAAAGGCAACACCTTGCCTTTAATTATCTCCTGTTGGGACCTGCCCTGCCTGGTTTCAGAAGCTGTAATCCTGGTTTCTAAGGCTGAGTGAGAGACCTTGGAACCCTAAGCCACTAATGAGACAAAGCTAATCTCCCTGGCAGGGGCACCAACTCTGCCCCTTTTACTTCACCCTGCTTGGCCCCAAGCAGATGACCAGTTAGCCAATGGCGGGTAAGATTTCTCAAAGGAGGGATGATCTAAGACAGGCATGGTCATGAAGGGGACCTCAGGGAAGGACTTGGGGGGCTACAGAAAAAGTGGGTATGTACCCTCACCCCTGACATAGCCTGAGTTCTCATTCTGTCTGCAAGAAGCCTCCTAATCTCTTGGCTGCCTTACTTTCCCTGCTTGACCTAAGCCTGAAACAATGCCAGCACAGGGTGCAGCCCTGTGCTGGAAAGGGCGGGTTCCCTGGGATGATCAGTCCTAAGAAAGTGTGCATAAAATGCTGTGAAACCTGTTTTGCTAATACCCTCAATTTAAATGATAAGGGTACAAGCAGGAAATGAGTTTGTTTCCCCCAAAGTTTTATGACCCTTTAGCTATCTGACCCTGACTCTAAATAAGCCCTCATAGTTCTTTGAATGTTATCTATTGTTTGATCACTACTTCCTGACAATGATTGATGAGCTTTACCTGTATTCCTATGCAAACTAAACCCAATAAAAACCTATTGAGAAACAGGCTCCTGGCCCTTCTCCTTTGAGAGATTGGTTGCCCACCTTTCCTCCCCAAGCAGATCAGGTCTTGGTAGACTTATTCTCACTAGTGGCAGATGAGGTGGGGGGTAGGCTCTGCATGTGGAGCCCTCTCCACAGTCTTCTACTAAGCACCTCTCATCTGTTCATAAAGGGAACTCATGGGTGCTGAAGAGATACTATGTAAACTGGCTAAACTTCCAAACATAGATAGAGAAGTTTCAGAAATTAATACCAGGAATTTTCTCAGAAAAATAAAAATTGACCTGCCTTTTGACCCAGCAATTCCACTGCTAGGATTATATCCCAAGAATCCTAAAACATCAATATCAAAGAACGTATGCACCACAATGTTCATAGCAGCACAATTTACAATAGCCAAGAGTTGGAAGCAACCTAGGTGCCCATCAGTAAATGAATGGATCAAAAAATTGTGGTACATATACACAATGGAATTCTATGCAGCAGAGAGAAAGAAGGAGCTCCTACCCTTTGCAACAACATGGATGGAACTGGAAAGCATTATGCTGAGTGAAATAGGCCAGGCATTGAAGGACAAATACCATATGATCTCACCTTTAACAGGAAGCTAAACAACAAAACAAACAAGCAAATAGAATAAAAACAAAGACACTAAAATAGAGAACAGGTGGGCAGTGACCAGAGAGGAGAGGGAAGGGAATTTAAGGGGGAAAATGGGTAGGGAGTTTGAGGAACAAGTATGAAAGACACAGGGATGAGGACTGGGGGGGGGGAATGGAAGGGAGGTTGGGAGATGGGGCAGGGGGGACTGGGATGGGAGAAATAGACAAAAAATGTACTTGAAAAGTAATTAAATAAAAATTAAAAAAGAGAAAAAATTTTGTAAACTTGCCACTCCCTCCAATCAGTGGAGGTGTTTCAGTTGCTTACTACGTAAATCTTGGCATTCAAGTACCTATCTTTGATGTCTAAAACATGTGTTTTACTTTTCTTGGAGCACAGATCATCTTCTTAATGTTGTGGAATAAGAATGGACTTGAGATCAGGAAGGCCAGGGGTCCAATCTCTGTTTCACAATTTACTTACTGTATGACTTTGTACAAGTAATTTAGTTTCTCTGAGCCTCAGTTTTCTCATCCATGACATGAAAATAATCAGAATAGATGCTATGTAGTATTGTATGGCTTCATGATAATGTATATAAAGTGCATATATAATAGGTGTTGGCTAAATAGCAGTCCTTAATTTTATATCTTTCAATATGTATCCCAACTCCATATTTCCAAAATCATTTCTATTCACATTGTTCAATGTTTCCTTTCTTTGAATGCCAGAGGCATTTTCAGTGCATAACACTCAGTATAGTGGTTAGTGGCCAGTGGCCATCTATTTCTTAGTTAGCCTAACCATGTCAAGGAAGCTCTGGGAGGGCAGCACCCAGGCCAGTCACATATTTGTCACCTCTAATCATTCAAGTGCATATTAATGCACCCCAGGTTGAGTTGAGCAGTGACCAACAGATACACTATTATTATCATGCCTAGCAAAATCACTTAAAACAAGGATCATTCTAGAACCCCATGTCATTGATTGGACAATGTGCTTATTATGGGTTTATTAACCACCTGGTAGTTTTTAATGCCCTTGAAAAACTGACCAGGAGTTAGGGCCCTAGTATCTACCTTATTGCCTGTGACAGTGTCCACCAGGAAGCCCAGAACCCTGAGGACCATGCTGCCCATATCCACAGACACTGGCTCTGGCTCAAGAATTTCAGAATCACCCAGGCTGGGCTTTCACACTCCTGAGATGATGCAGTCTCTGGAAGGTGGCAAGGTTTGGGGTGGACAGCAGACTGGTCATTTGGTAGCATCTTCATGATATTTCCCACACTGTCTTTCTCCTCTTCCTCTTCTATGCCTGACTGCAGTATATGAATCACATATTCCCAAAGCAACAAATGAACAGATGTCAGGACCCTACATTTAAATAACAACCCAAAATAAATAATTATATAAACAAAAACAGATCAATGAGAAACTTAATTTTTTGAGGCTTTAACTCCTATGTACTAGACGCTCACTCCTATAACTGATTCTGAGGGGTTCTGGGCAGAGTACATCACCTATGTGGCTGACATTCCATATCCACAGAACCCCAGCAAGGTGACTTTTGGACAGAATGCAGAGAGCTAAATAGCCTGAGCCATGAGAGGAAACTTAAAACCCACCTGGTGTGAGATGGAGCAAATCCTACAGAAATTCCCAGAGCAGGGGACTTATGCCTTCCCATGAGTGGCATGCAGGGAAGCAAAGGAGAGGGTGGAGGAAGGTGCAGGCAGAGTGCAGAGGGGTCCCACTGCCATTTGTGATGCTGCAAATGCAGCCCCTTCCCCTGCTTCAGTCTGTGTAGCTGCAACTTCTGATGAGTGAAGTGTGTAAGGGAAAGAGGCTGGTGTTTGGCATAGAGAGACATCCTCTCACGTGGGCCTGTCACTGGGGAGATTGTGTAGGGGAGACAGTAGGGCAAGCTGACTCATCCGACTGCTTTAAATCCTAAGGCCTTTGGTCTTCCAGAAAAAAGGATAATTAATGTTCAGCTAAGAAACAGAGGAGATCTGGCCTATTATAATTGTTAAGAGACTAATTTTTAATTGATGTAAAACCACAAATCTTATACAAATATAAAATGAGCATGAATGAATGCAGGAACTAGTAAGCTGTTGCAACTAGTTCAGTGGAGAATTCAAAATATCAACATAGACAGTAGAGAATGCTGGCATTAATTTACAAATAGATGCAAAAGGGATTCATCCTTGGGGTGGTAATCATTGCATCCACTTGATAGCACCAGCATGCATTTCTGGGGAGGACTACCATCTGTATTACTATTAGTTTCATATAAGGTACAGAGTTGTAAAATAACTCAAAGATAATGACATGTGGAAACAACTCAGAAGGGGTGCCCAACATTTTTGCTCACATCCAAGACTTTTATCTATTTCACAGCCCTTTATGATGTGTATTCATTGATGAAATATGGTGAAAGATGCTGGCTTGGTGGGATGGCATGATCTGGTCTGGAAAGAGCCTAACAATTCCTGGCCTGTTTAATCTTGGAAACTATGGTCCAATTGATGAGGAAAAACAGCTGGTGTTAATACTTTGACTTCATATGGAGGTCTAGAGAAGGAAGTCAGGGAAAAGCAACAACTACAGGACTGGATTTCTTTCCATGATTGCATGTGAATGTATTTTATCACTTTAGTCTGGAAGACCATTAGCCTAAAGCAGAGTCAATTTGGACATCATTAGAGGGGAGAGCCTCACTACAAATGATTATCACCAATAGGGCAGCTTACAACAACTCCTGAAAGAGCTCCAGAGTGTTTGTAAATCTCACCTAGAGTAGGACTTGTCTTCTCTTCCTATTCCGCTTGCCTACTGTGAGGGCACCAAGCTGCACCCCCTGGAGCAGGGCTCCTGACCCTGCTTAGTGTGTAAGCATGGTGAGAAGACTTTGTCTTTCCCCTGCTCTATGCCCCATGCCCAGGAAGGTGCCTAGGACTTTGTAGGAAGACAGTAAGTATTTGTTGAGATGAATGATCTTTTCCATGGGGCTGTGGTGAACCTCTAAAACTGCTACACTGCATCTGAGCCATGGTAGTAACAAATGTGACCTTCCCTGATAGAGAAAGACCATCTATTTGACCAGAAAGTTTGCAAAATGAATACTACTTTACTTTTTTGACTGTACATTTGTGACTTTGTCAATTGTTATCACTACAAGTGAAATATGAATGTCCCCAAGAACCCCTTTTTTTTTCAGATCTCACTCATCTTTCTTGGTGTTTTCTCAAAATGTCCCAAAGCACATAATTCAAAAACAAGGGGATGCTTCCTGCACACCCAGGAATGAGGAATGGGAAAAGTAGAGTGGTTCAACTGTTTGGCAGATTCTTCTGTTGCCAATAAAAAAAGTGTTATAGCCCTGGCCAGGTGGCTCAGTTGGTTGGAGCATCATTCTATACACCAAAAGGTTGTGGGTTTGATGACTGCTTGGGGTGTGTAAGAAAGGCAGCGAAACAATATTTCTCTCATACATTGATGTTTCTCTCTCTCCATTCCTCTGTCATTAAAAAATTGATAAACATATCCTCGAATGAGGGTTAAAATAAATTGAAAAAAAAATTTATTTAGTTATCTTTCAAGTACAGTTTTTTGACTATTTCTCCCATACCAGCCCCCCCACCCCATGCTCCCCATATCCCTCCCATTTCTTCCACCCCCCTTAGTTCTAGTCCCTGTGTCCTTCATACTTGTTCCTCAAAATCCCTTCCCTTTTCCCCCCTTAAATTCCCTTCCCTCTCCCCTCTGGTCACTGCCCCCTTGTTCTCTATTTCAGTGTCTTTGTTTTGTTTTTTTTTTTTTCTGCTTGCTTGTTTGTTTTTTGTTTAGCTTCCTGTTAAAGGTGAGATCATATGGTATTTGTATTTCAACAGCTGGCCTATTTAACTCAGCATAATGCTTTTCAGTTCCATCCATGTTGTTGCAAAGGGTAGGAGCTCCTTCTTTCTCTCTGCTGCATAGAATTCCATTGTGTATATGTACCACAATTTTTTGATCCATTCATTTACTGATGGGCACCTAGGTTGCTTCCAACTCTTGGCTATTGTAAATTGTGCTGCTATGAACATTGTGGTGCATACGTTCTTTGATATTGATGTTTTAGGATTCTTGGGATATAATCCTAGCAGTGGAATTGCTGGGTCAAAAGGCAGGTCCATTTTTAGTTTTCTGAGAAAATTCCATACTGTTTTCCATAATGGTTGTACCAGTCTGCAATCTCACCAACAGTGAACTAAGGACCCCTCTTCCCACAACCTCTCCAATATTTGTTGTTGGTTGCTTTATTTATGATAGCCATCCTGACCAGTGTAAAGTTGTATCTCATTGTGGTTTTAATTTGCATCTCTCTGATAGCTAACAATATTGAGCATCTCTTCATGTGTCTCTGGATATTCTATATGTCCTCCTTGGAGAAGTGTCTGTTTCCATTTTTAAATGGGTTAGATGTCTTCTCAGAGTGGAGTCCTGTAAGTTTTTTGTATATTTGGAGATTAAACCTTTGTCTGAGGTATCATTGGCAAATATGTTTTCCCATACAGTTGGTCATCTTTTTATTTTAATACTATTTCCTTTAGCCACGCAGAAGCTTTTTATTTTGATGAGATCCCATTTGTTTATTCTTTCCTTTATATTCCTTGCTTTAGGGGACATATCAGTAAAAATGTTGCTGCGTGGAATATCTGAGATTTTGTTGCCAATGTTCTCCTCTAGGACTCTAATGGTGTCACAGCTTATATTTAATCTTTTATCCACCTTGAATTTATTTTGGTGTATGGTGTAAGTTGGTGCTCAAGTTTCATTTTTTTGCACGTAGCTGTCCAATTCTCCCAACACCATTTGTTGAAGAGGCTATCTTTACTCTATTTTATGTTACTGCCCCCTTTGTTGAATATTAATTGACTGTAGAGAGTTGGGTTGATTTCTGGGCTCTCTGTTCTGTCCCATTGGTCTATGTGCCTGTTTTTATGCCAGTACCAGGCTGTTTTCATTACAGTGGTTTGTAATACAGTTTGATATCAGGTATTGTGATCCCTCCTACTTTGTTCTTCTTTCTCAAAAGAGCAGCTGCTATTCGGGCTCGTTTATGATTCCAAATAAATTTTTGAAGTGTTTGTTCTATGTCTGTGAAATATTCCATTGGTACTTTAATAGGTATTGCATTGAATCTGTATATTGCTTTGGGTAGTATGGACATTTTGATGATGTTAATTCTTCCAATACATGAACAAGGCATATGTTTGCATTTGTTTGTGTCTTCCCTGATTTCTTTCTTCAGTGCTGTGTAGTTTTCTGCATACAGATCTTTAACCTCCTTGGTTAAGTTTATTCCCAGATATTTTATTTTTCTTTTTGCTATATCGAATGGGATTTTTTCTTTGATTTCTGCTTCTGCTGATTTATTGTTAGTATACAGAAATGCCTTTGATTTCTGGATATTGACTTTGTATCCTGCTGTTTTGCCAAACTCATTAATTAGTTTGAGCAGTTTTTGGGTAGAGTCTATAGGATTTTCCATGTACACTATCATGTCATCTGCAAACAGTGACAGTTTTGTTTCCTTCTTTCCTATTTGGATGCCTTTATTTCCTTTTCCTGCCTGATGGCTGTGGCTAAAACTTCTAATACTATATTGAATAGAAGTGGTGAAAGTGGACATCCTTGTCTTGTTCCTGATCTTAGTGGAAAAGCTTTTAGCTTTTGCCCATTGAGTATGATATTGGCTGTAGGTCTCTCATAAATGGCCTTTATTATATTGAGGAATGCTCCCTCTATTCCCACTTTGCTGAGTGTTTTTTATCATAAATGGGTGCTGTACCTTATCAAAAGCTATTTCCACATCTATTGATATGATCCTGTGGTTTTTGTCTTTGCTTTTGTTTGTGTGATGAGTTACATTTACTGATTTGTGAATGTTGAACCATCCTTGCATCCCTGGGATGACTCCCACTTGGTCATGGTGTATAATCTTTTGGATATATTGTTGGATGCGATTTGCCAATATTTTGTTGAGGATTTTAGCATCTATGTTCATCAGCGATATTGGCCTGAAGTTTTCTTTCTTTGTTGTATCTCTATCTGGTTTTGGAATTAGGATGATGCTGGCTTCATAAAAGGAGTTTGGGAGTTTTCTATCCTTTTGGATTTTTTGGAATAGTCTGTGCAGAATGGGGGTTAGCTCTTCCTTAAATGCTTTGTAGAATTCTCCTGTAAACCCATCTGGTCCAGGGCTTTTGTGTGATGGGAGTTTTTGATTATTGCTTCAATTTCTTTTGCTGTTATTGGTCTATTCAGGTGTTCTACTTCTTTTTCATTGAGTGTTGGGAGATTATATTTTTCTAGAAATGTGTTCATTTCCCCTAGGTTCTCACATTTCTTGGCATACAGTTCTTCATAGTAATTTCTTACAATCCTTTCTATTTCTGTGGTATCAGTTGTAGTCTCTTCTGTTTTGTTTCTGATTGTGTTTATTTGTGTCCGTTCCCTTCTTTTCTTGATGAGCCTAGTTAAAGGCTTGTCTATTTTGTTTATCTTTTCAAAGAACCAACTCCTGGATTCATTGATCCTTAGAATTGTGTTTTTAGTCTCTATGTCGTTTAGTTCTGCTCTGATCTTGGTTATTTCCTTCCTTCTACTTGCTTTGGGCTGTTTTTGTTGTTGTTCCTCGAGTTCTAGCGGGCGTAGAGTAAGGTTGTTTGTTTGAAATGTTTCTATCTTCTTTAGGTAGGCCTGTATTGCTATAAACTTCCCTCTCAGGACTGCCTTTGCTGTGTCCCTTAAGATTTGGGTTGTTGTGAGATCATTTTTACTTGTTTCCAGAAACTTTTTGATTTCTTCCCTAATTTCATTCTTGACCCAATGTTGTTTAATAGCATACCATTCAGTCTCCATGATTTTGGGTGTTTTGGGTTTTTCCCTTTGGGGTTGATTTCCAGTTTCAGTCCCTTGTGGTCAGAGAAAATGCTTGGTATGATTTCAATATTCTTGAATTGGTTGAGGCTTGTTTTTTGTCCTATCATGTGGTCTATCTTTGAGAATGTTCCATGTGCATTTGAAAAGAATGTGTATTTAGCTTCTTTGTGGTGAAGAGCTCTGTATATATCAGTTAGGTCCATTTCATCAAGGGTGTTGTTTAATGCCGCAATATCTTTGTTGATATTTTGTTTGGAAGATCTGTCCATTTTTGATAGTGGGGTGTTAAAATCCCCCACTATAATTGTGTTGCTGTCTATATCTTTCTTGAATTCCTCTAAGATTTTCTTTATATATTTGGGTGCTCCTATGTTGGGTGCATATATATGATGTTAATGTCTTCTTGTTGGATTCTTCCCTTGAGTATTATGAAGTGACCTTCTGGGTCTTTCTTTATGGCCCTTTTTTGAAGTCTATTTTGTCTGATATGAGAATTGCTACCCCAGGTTTTTTTCTTGTCCATTTGCTTAGAAAATTTGTCTCCAGCCTTTCACTTTTGGTCTGTGATGATCTTTTGTCCTGAGGTGGGTCTCTTGTAGGCAGCATATGTGTGGGTCATGCTTTCTTATCAATGCAGCTATTCTGTGTCCTTTGTTTGGAGCATTTAATCCATTTATATTTAAGGTTATTATTGATAGATACTTATTGATTGCCATTTTTGTACCTGTGTTCCTCTCTGTCTGTCTCTTTTCCTTCCTTTCCTTAAAGCAGACCATTTAGTATTTCTTGTAGAGCTGGCTTGGTGGAAGCATATTCTTTTAGACTTCTTTTGTCTTGGAAGCTTTTTATTTTGCCTTCTATCTTGATTGAAAGCCTTGCTGGGTAAAGTAGCCTTGGTTGTAGGCCTCTGTTTCTCATTACTTGCAATATTTCTTGCCATTCTCTTCTTGCTTGGAGTGTTTCCATTGTGAAGTTAGTAGGTAACGTTATTCGGGCTCCCTTGTATGTTACATCCTGTTTCACCATTGGTGCCTTTAAGATTCTTTGTTTGTAGTGGAGTTTTGCCATTTTAATTATGATGTGTCTTGAAGTGGGCCTCCTTGCTCTCCTCTTGATTGGAACTCTGTGTGATTCTTGGATTTGTGTGACTTTTTCTCTCATCAAATTAGAGAAATTTTCTCTCATTACTCTTTCGAATACATTTTCTATCCCTTTTTTAATATTTTATTTATTTATTTTTAATAATTTTATTTAGTTATTTTTCAAGTACGGTTTTTTTTTCAATTTCTCCCATTTCAGCCCCCCCCACCCTGTGCTCCCACCTCCCTCCCATTTCTACCCCCCTTAGTTCTCGTCCCTGTGTCCTCCATATTTGTTCCTTCAAATCCCTCCTCCTACTTTGAATTTAAGACTATACTTTCAGGGATCATTTCTATAGTTCGTTTTCTATCTGTTCTTCTTCTTCTTCTTCTTCTTCTTCTTCTTCTTCTTCTTCTTCTTCTTCTTCTTCTTCTTCTTCTTCTTCTCTTCTTCTTCTTCTTTCTTCTTCTTCTTCTTCTGGTATTCCTTTTATTTGGATATTATTACGTTTCATATTATCTTGCATTTCTCTTAATCCCTCTTCATTCTTTCTGAGCTTCTTTTCCCTTTCCTGTTCTTTCTGTGAGATGCTTTCTACTTTGTCCTCCAACTCAATAATCCAATCTTCTGTCTCATCTACCCTATTTTTAATGCTTTCTACTGTTTTTTTCAATTCAGAAATTGTATTCTTCATTTCCTCTTGGCCCTTGCTAATAGTTTCCATTTCCTGTTTCATGTTGATATAGTTCTGAATGAGATCATTGTAGCTCCCCTGTAGTTTCTGGTAGCTCATTGTGAGCTCTTTGAACTTCCTGATAACCAGTGCTTTGAATTCAGTATCTGATAGTTGACTTGCCTCTATTTCATCTAACATTCTTTCTGAGGGTTCCTCCTTTCTTTTTGGGGGGAATTGTTTCTTTGTCTTCCCATTGTTTGTGGGACTCTTCTTGTTAGCCTCAGCTTCTTAGATTAATCTGTTTTGACACCCTGGGTTTATGGTGTAAACTTTTGTGGTGTAATGCCTGTGAATTTCAGTGGTGCAGTGTCTTTTGGTTATCCTGTCATTCTCTGCTTCCACCTACTCAAATATGCAGCAACTTTTGGCTTCTCTCCTACTGCAAAGTGCAATTTGTCTCTCTGACTCTACTATTGGGAGGCCTCTTCTATGGGTCCAGCTCTGGTCTTTTCATATATTCAAGGTGATTGTGACTCTTGTGGGTAAAAGAAAGAAAAGACAAGGAAAGAAATAAAAGGAAGAGAAAAAAAGGGTAAGGGAATGGAAGAAAGAGCAATAAGTTTAGAAAGAAAAGAAGAAGGAATAAAACAGGAAATCATCTGGTTCCTCTGTGACCGTCGAGGTTTCTGGTCCCTTATTTTCATATAAGCTTTGGCAACTGCTGGATTGCTGGCTTCTCCTCCTCTGATCTGACAGGTTTCTCTCACTTTTGTACTAGGAACTGGTATCTGCTCTGTCCTGCTTCATCGCCATCTTGAAAGCCCCCCAAAATAAGTTTTTTAAAATGATTTTCTGTGTCTATGTTGTATTTTACATGAAAAGGTTAAAAGAAGACTGGATTCTACGTAGAAATATGAAAAGTTTTTATGATATAATAACATTTGAAGGTAGAAAACAAGTGATTTGCATTCTCTGACTTACCAAAACTGTCTGTCTATCGTAGAGGGTCATGTCTTTGCTCATGGTGGTGGGAAGGAAATTCCATCTTAGCTGGGAGCTGGCAGCCAAGTTGAAGAACTCCTCTTTTCTTCTGCTTGGCTATTACATTTTTGACAAAATGAAGATAAGCATGTTTTCAAATGCACACATTTGTTAGGGACAGACATGTTTAAGTGGAGAAATAAGAGGAAGAAGAAATGATAAGGTGAGAAAAGAGGCAGTGGCACACCAACCCTTCTCTGGTCTTGGTTCATTTTGTCTAGAGATGAGTCCAGGGCAGAATGATGTAAATTATCTGAGGACCAGAAGGTCCCAACTGTGTGTCCAGCAGAGTCAAAGCCATCTGACAGCTTCAATGACACTTAACTGAGCACCAGTGGGATGCTTCTACATGCAGACAAAGAGACTCTCAATGTATATTGAGAATAGCCTTGAACCACACTTTAAATTAATTACAGCCAATGGAGTCATGAATTTCACATGCATGTGTTGGGAAGAATGACTCTAAAGACTCCCTAAGTCTTATCATAGGCATGTGGTCTACCTACTGGCTCAACCAAAGTCTCTGAAGAAGATATGGAGAGACTGGCTAGACATGAGGACATGCCCTTTCTCATCTTTCCTTGTCTTCCCTTCTGCCTCAAATGAAACCCGCTGAATGTACAGGATTGTCCTAGGCTTCGGGTACATGGGGATTCTTTTCAGTAGCAACATCCCACGCGACTTCTGACCACCCAAGCTAGTGTTTCTGATCACCTGAAATGGGGCTCCAGGAAGGAACCATGCATTCAACAAACACAAGTACATTTTCTAAAAAGCATTGAAAGCAGTAGCTCTGGTGGTTGGTGCTGTCTGCATAAATGTTTGTATGTGAACCACAATGACCATTACTCTGCTCACCACTAGTGTGGCATTCAGGGTCTTACATTTAGAAATTCTCCTGGACCCAACTACATGAGAACTAGAGGTCCTGCAGTGTTTCATATGCTCATTGTGCCCATGTTGTTCTCTTGGGAATATTGTCTTTTAATGTTATTTTCATCTTACTGATGTGAATTCTGTCCAGTGGGGTCCATATGTTGTGGATGCAATGAACAAATTCACACAGGCTACCAAAGTTCTATAGAGAAAAAGGGATGGTGTGGCCACTCTCTCAAGGGGAGAGAGTCCTGACCCCTGCCTTGGCAAGCTTTTATTGGCTTTCTAATAGCATACATCAAAGAAGGTTCTCATACATTATGCTCAGGTTTGCTTTAGGTAATTACTTTTTACAGATAACAAAAGAAAGGATGTTACTGATTACTTACTAGAGATTAACAAGGAAAAAATGTTGCAAATGCAAGGGAATGATAGCAGTAATTGGTCTGGTTACACTCTGTCCTTGGGAGAACTAGCACAGACTTCAGGAAGTTACTTAAAAATATGCAGTAAGGATTTTTTTTCTTCAACTCAGGGTGAGGGAGTTTTAGCAAAAGCAAGTCTCAAAGCAGCCTAGGTATAATGCAGGCCTGGTTTCCCACGGGGGAGCCAATCCATGCCTATGGGCTTTCCAATAAGGCTGGGCTACATTTGCCATTGCCAGGCAGATCGGTTCCCTATATTTCCCCCCTTGTTTTTAGTTAGGACTGCTATAGATCCCAAAAAGCTTGCTACTTGCTGATCTCTTTCATGACTCTGGGAAAATATTTGGCAAATGTATAGAAGTGTACAAAGCCTTATTAGAATCAGCAAACAGCCAGCAGCTCCAAAGGCCCACATTCTCAGGTTAAGTCCATCAAACTAATTGTTTGGATTTAGGCAGCGGACATTATCATAGAGGGTTTGAAAAACCTCCTGCTTGGTCAAGCATTGAACATCCTGCAACTGCTGATGCAGCTCTAGCTGCAGTTTATCAATTAGTCTCTTTAAGTTGACAGAAAAAGCCCCTCTTAGGTGATGTTGAATATGGCTCCAGGAGTGCTGGCTGGAGTTCCACTGGAGTGGGGTAACACACAGCCTGGAGAATCCAGGGTCACAGGTTAGCTGTTGGCAAGTCACTAATGCATCTTGGTGCTCAACAATCCAGTCAAGTACTGATTAAACTGCAGAAAGGTGAGTCAGGATCTCTTGATCAATCTGGGCCTGTTGAATCATTCCTAAGGTAGTACTGGTTAAGAGAACATCAACAATATGAGCAGTTTGAAATGAGTCAACTGAGGGTGGCAGTTGCCATGGCAGCAGTAGCTGCAACAACTATAGCAGAGAAAATGAATGCAATTAGGGTGCTGACCTTTTTAAGGAGCATAGCGCATTGTGAAGTGCCATTATGCCATTGGGTTCCTCACATTCTCTGTTTACATCAACTGGCACCAATATTTGAGTTTGTCTTCTAACTATATAAACTGTAGTGAGGTTTAGCTAAGTAATATTGATATGGGGAAGGCAGCTGGCATACACAAAGCCAACAGGGACATGCAGAGAATAAATTTTTGCCAATTCATTATAAAAGACCTGGGCTGTCCCTGAGGTTGCTAAAATCAGGTAGGGGTAAGAGGTATAAACCATGACCCAATCTTGTTCTGGAGGATCAACCTGGCAGCAACATCCCAGAACACCATTAGGGTTACAACCAATTTTTATATACAGATGCTTTCTAGTAATAAAAGGCAAGCCCATTTTCCAAGAGTTATAATGCCACAGGCTAGTGTGGTTAGGAGAAACTATTCTGATAGTAGGTGCCCCGGTGCTGGGCCTCTCCCACCACACATTAATATATAGTTGTTGAAGCTGAGTTGGAACTATTGTTGTATCAGGCTTAGGTAATATTCTCCAGTTAGCTCCCCAATTCTCTATTACAAAAGGACTTTTTGGGAGAAAAGCAATGGTGGCATTCAGTTCTTGGCATAAAGACCAGAAGACTGAATCTTTATGGCTAGTGTCTAAGGTACAAGGAGGAACCAGAGTGGGATTGGAAGTATGGTAACCCCCTTATGGGTAGGTAGGTCAACTGTGGCTACCATGGAAAGCTGATAGTAATTACTGTGTTGCTCTTTGTCTGCAGCATAAAGTTTCTCTTTTAAAGGGAAGCACAAAGTGTTAAGAAGGACAGAAAAACAAACTGGTAAATGTTCAGCAACATAAACAGTATTTTTTTGGTATGGGTAACCAGTGCTTGCTTTCTTCTAGTGGGCCATCAGGGGGCATCCACACTCCTCTGGTCCATACTCACTGTGCCCATGTTGTTCTCTTGTGAATATTGTCTTTTCATGTTATTTTCATCTTACCCACCTTTTTCATCCTAATTTAAATTTTACCTCCTTCATCAAGGCCTTTCATAACTGCCTCAGCCTGCAGAGGACAAGCCTCAAGGGTGGAAGGCCACTGGCTACCTTGTTTGGGTCTAAATTTTTAATGCACAGCCCCAACTCCCTGTCCAACCACCCACTATGGGCCCACTGGGTCAAGGATGCTGTGGCTTTCTCTAATGGCATTTTCAGATCTGAAAATGCTGATGCAGATTGTGGTGATGATTGATCCAAAGGACCCTGCTGAAGTAACTCCCAAGTGGAATATTGACCAGAAGAATCAAATCCACCCACATTCTATACTAATTTGTCTTTGATTTTGTAATATCAAGCTCAGTGCTTTACCAGGATGTTTCTGCAAAATACCCAGACAAGTACTGTTCTCCCCAAACAGAGAAAACCCCTCCTCCTCCTATACACTTGCTTGGTACACACATACACTCACCCATGGTCACCTGCACACATGTTCACTTACCCTCACCTGGCTCATTACACATTTACAGACTTATCGCACACATACACACCCAAGCACACATATGCTCACCATGTGTGCTCACCTGCAAACACACATGTTCCTGCCTTGCTACAGGAGTGAGACACTACTTTTCTGTCCTTAACATCCATACTAGACTTGACACATTTCTGGCCACAGAAAATTCTTTTTCATTCAACCAGGTCATGGGTACTCAGTGCTATCATGTAGCTAGAATGATCAATACTCACGTCTTCTCTTTATAAAAAAATATGGTTATGTACCTAGAAGATGAACATTTGGAGATTTGAAGACAGACAATTCTGAAATACATTGAGGTCTGTTGATGTCCCCAGCAAAGAAATTAAACTGCTTAAACTTGTAAAAAGAAACAAAACAAACAAAAAGATTGCTAGTGACACAAAAGAGCTTCACTGTAGGTATTTTTATTCTAGGTAACCCGAGGGACAAAATTTGAACAATAGTACAAACACACTCCCTGTGACCTCACCCTCATTTTGAATACAAAAGATGCATTCTAAGTCCAGATTTGTCACCTCTGTGGTTATCTAGTCCAAATTTATATGAAATGATTCGTAGGAACCACATCTGTCACTTGTCGAAGTGGAAAGAAATATTTTGAAATAATAGCTACACTTTGTAATTAATTACACAGACTTGGTTTCAGATGAGCTCATTGCATGATACAGGCATGACCTTGCCTATTCTTGTCATTTTCACTAAAGTGTAATTTATTAGTGTCTTTTAATTGATGGTGAACATTAAAACTGTTGAGGAATGTTCACTGACTCGCCTGGGGTTACAGACTCAGTACAGACATGCAGGGTGATGCCTGAGCATGTGTGACATGGGGAGTTGAGTCCTCTACCTGCACGGCCAACACTGAGAGCACGTGAGTCAGCCTTTCATCTTCTTTTTGGGTGCCTCTGGGTACCAAGAAGAGTGTAGAAAACCCAGTTGGTTGCCATGACCCTGGCTGAGGCATGGCCAGAGTTCATGTGATAGATCTTCCAGGTATACCTCAAGCATTTGTCTGCCATGTATCAGCAGGGGCTACTAGCATACCAGGTCCCTGCTGGCTCTCTTTCCTCTTGAAAGGTCACCCAAGGATGACAACAGGCCCACAGGAGCCCTCGGCAGGAAGGCAGGCCTCTTCACAGGCCTCTTGGGGAGAGGCCTTATGCTTTTATGGGGCCCCAGGGCTTGGGCTGGGGGCAATAACCAGGTTTGAGAAACCACATAAGATTTCTATAGAAGCCAGTACCTCAGAAGGGGGCTCATTGGACTCCTACTAACCAACATTGCTCTCCATAGTTTTGAAGCATGTTGGCTTAGGTGTCCAGCCTTTAGTTGCTGGTTTGATTGGTAGGGTAATATCTAGGGGAGGAACTAGGATTTGGGATAGAAGCAGGGGAGATAATCAAGGGATGAGAGAATAGGGTGGGAAGGGAAGAGGTGGGCAGAGGCTGCTTACCAACAAGAATGACCAATGTCAATATTTCCATAACTGGTACAAGCATACCAAAGTTGGCCCTATTTCAAGGTCAAAGAAAGACAACAGGATAATTTGTGGTGTTTGTGTCCCTTGCTGAATCCCTGTGCCATCAACTCATGAAATACTGAAGTACTACCATGTGCCAGCACTATGTTGGGTGGACTAAGATGATAAGACACAGGTGATACCTGAAGAAACTTACAAGTGCTGGGGAGGCAATTTATGTATAGTGAGTGCACCAGGATGAGTTCAGGCCCACAAGGAAGAAACTTCTAAGCTTCCTAGGGCATCCTGGAAAGGGCAGATATGGGAGCATAGCCCCCAGGACACCTCTCAGCCACCCTCAGACAAAAGCCTAGAGACTGGCCCAGAATGTGGGAGAGGGGCATAAATGTGCAGCCTCCTTCCTCAAACAGCTCTCCTGTTGTGTTGCCCAAAGTGAGGAGCTCCCCACCCCCAATGCATGCAGCCACACTGTTGGCCAGCTTGTGATGCTCTTTGTGACAGAGTTTTTTTTTTTTAATAATCACCATTATCAGATAGCAAAGGGCAAGACTATCCACATGCTTCATATCACTTGTTTGTAAAATAGTGAAATACAGTAAAAGCACCATGGTTTGTATTGTTAAAAATAACACTTGCTGATTCTCACAGTAGTGCCAGCAGAGTCTGGCAGGGCAGAGAGCTAACTCAATCCAATTCAGACAGGAGAGAAGAGACATGTTGAATCTGTGCATGTATAAGAATAATGCAGATTTTTTTTTCCTACAAGAGACATTCCAGGTTGATTTCCACAATTACCTGGCCCCTGAAGGAGCAGATAAATGATAATATCAAAGAGTAAATTATGTTCTACTTCTATTAATAAATTCCTAAATTAGTGCAGGCTATGCCACCAGCCACATACATGCCACATACTCCATCCAATAAAGAAAGCAGAAGAGGGAAGGTTACATTTCATTTCCCAGCTTTCCAGGTCACCTATGCTGCTCAGGTTCCTTGGCAGGGCTTCCTTAGAAACATTCATGATACCTTTCAGGTTTGATTTCAGAAGGCTGACTCCTATTATTTCTCAATACCATTTTAATAGTCTAAGTATAATGGGTAAACATAATACTCAATTAAATCTTGTCATTTTACTTTTGCCTAAACCCCCGGTCTCCAAATTAACAAGATTTTTTTTTTTTTTGCTGTTGAGAAAAGATGTGGATTTGGGTATTACCCATTAAAATAGAATTCTTAGTAATAACTAAAATGTTTGAATTTCACATATTTTAGAACTATAATGGAGACTTCCGCCAAGATGGAGGCATAGGTGGATGGGCCGTGCTTTCTCACACAACCAAGTTTAGAGACAACTGAATATTAGCAACAGAAAACACAGCCAGAACATGGAAAATTGAACTTTTCGGAAGTCCGTTAACAACAAATTCTTCAGCCTGACCAGTAAGGGCCGAAACCAGCGGCTGGTGAAGCGGGGTTGCACAGGAGGACTCGGTCAGACGGACTCAGGCGTGCGGAATCCAGGCGCGCTGGAATCCAGGCGCAGGGTTGGACCTAGTGAGCGACCGAGCGAGCAACCAGGGGAGCGACCGCAGGGGAGACTGCGGGGGAGAGGTGCTGCGAGTTGACTGTGGTCGCACATTTGTGTGCTGGTGGACAGGCGAGGGAGAGGGCGATTGGACCGGCCCGGCGGGTCCCCGCAGCTAGCGGCAGGGAGAGTGCCGCCATATCCCTGCTCTGACCCCACCTCCACATACAGCATCATAACCCAGCAACTCTGAGTGGCCCGGCCGAGGTCAACCACCTAAGGTGCTCCTCCTCACCCAGCTGTGAGAAACAGCAGAGGGGGTCGCCATTTCTCTGCTCTGACCATGCCCGCACATATAGCGTCACAACCCAGTGACCTGGGATTCCAAGGCGCCGCTTCTCACTCTTAAAGGGTGCAAACAGACCAAAAATAGCACAAGAAGATCTCAAAGCCCCAGAACCTATAGATCTAAGCAATGAAGAAATAGCAAAACTCTCAGACGCACAGTTTAAAACACTGGTGATCAGGATCCTCAAAGAACTGGTTGATTATAGCCACAAATTAGACAAATACATAAAGGCGAAACTAATTGAAATTAATGGAATTGCACAGGACACCAATAGCAATGAAAAGGAAACTGGGACTCAAATCAGTGGAGTGGACCAGAAGAAAGCAAATAATGGCCAAACAGAAAAGAGTGAAGAAGCAAGAATTCAAAGAAATGAGGAGAGGCTTAGGAACCTCCAGGACATCTTTAAACGCTCCAACATCCGAATTATAGGGGTACCAGAAGGGGGAAAGGAACAGCCACCAGTGGAAAACTTATTTGAACACATAATAAAGGATAATTTCCCCAATCTGGCAAAGGAAATAGACTTCCAGGAAATCCAGGAAGCTCAGAGAGTCCCAAAGAAGTTGGACCCAAGAAGGAACACACCAAGGCACATCATAATTACATTAGCCAAAATTAAAATGAAGGAGAGAATCCTAGAAGCAGCAAGAGCTAAGGGGACAGTTACCTACAAAGGAGTCCCCATCAGACTGTCAGCGGATTTCTCAAAAGAGACCTTACAGGCAAGAAGGGGCTGGAAAGAGGTATTCCATGTCATGAAATCCAAAGACCTACAACCAAGATTGCTCTATCCAGCAAAACTTTCATTTAGAATGGAAGGACAGATAAAGTGCTTCTCAGATAAGATCAAATTCAAGGAGTTCATCATCACCAAGCCCTTATTATATGAAATGTTAAAGGGACTTACTTAAGAAAAAGAAGTTAAAAAACATGAACAGTGAAAGGACAACAAACTCACAGTTATTAACAACCACACCTAAAACGAAAGCAAACTAAAAGGACTGCTAGATCAGGAGTGGAAACATAGAAATGAAGATCTCAAAGAGGGTTAGCAACAGGGGAGTGGGAGGAGGAGAAGGGGGGAGAAGGTACAGAAAATAAGTAGCATAGATGGTAGATAGAAAATAGAAGGGGGGCAAGAATAGCATGAGAAATATAGAATCTAAAGGACTTGAGACACATGGTCATAAACTAAAGGGGGAGTAATGGTGGGGATGGGGGGTAGGGTGGAGGGGAATGAAAGGGGGGAATAGAACAACTGTAACAGCATAATCAATAAAAAAATTTAAAAAAAGAACTATAATGGAGTGCAGCCAAGGCCCTTTCAACAAAGAATTTGAAATGGGGTTCAAAAGTTGGGGTGTCTAGGAAATATGGAAATATAGGATATCCCCACTCCCACAAGTCTTGACTGGGGAATGGGACAAATGGAGCAGGGCCACTGAGAGTTATCTTGCTTATCAACAAGTCTAGCTAGGGAGATGGGCATAACTTTGACCCTTGAGTTAACTGGGAGGCAGCTCCCCTTACAGTGTGTAAGTGAGAGCTTAGAAATGGTTTGCTCCATGTCAGGGGGCCATGCCTGCCAGGACTAATATGGCAGCCAAGAAAGGCAGAGAATACTAGAGTGCTGACAGGTTTAGCCAGTTGTGGGAGGAGCTGGAAATGGGGTTATAGAGGAAGATTCATGCTGGGATTTAAACCTAAGCGCAGCAACCATACTGGTTCTAACCATGTAGTTTTGGGGGTAGAGAGGGGGCTCCCTTTACCATGTGGCTTAGGAAGCAGGCTGCAAAATGTAGCAGCCATGAACAACTATTTCTCTTAGTGGTTTGAAAGAATCCAGGAGAGAGAATGCAGGACGCAAGACAATGAGAGACCTTGTGGGAGGAAAAGGGGTGAAAGGATTCTTGCTGGTGGGCCATGAGAAGGTGCCATGTGGTTTTGGATTAAGAACTAGAGATTGCGGTAACATAGCTAGCTGATGGTGCTGGGGATTGTGGGAGACCTGCCCAGTTGAGCATGGATTACTGGGAAGAACTGGGAGAAGTGAGCTGAAGACTTCTGTTCTTTTTCTTCTGGAAGACAGTACTTCTGATTGGCATGTTCTGAGACTGGCCTGCCAAGGCAAAGTGGGGAAGGAAGGGCTGTGTGTGTTTGTGGATATTTTAAGGGACTTTGGGATTTTAACAGTGACATTCTGCCATTACTCTAAATCTCTGTAACTTTTAAGTAAATAAATAATTCCTTTCCTTTTTACCAAACTCTGGCACTGAGAGCCATAATTCCTAATACCTGGAAGCAGGCAAAGAATCCACAGTGACAGAGAGACCCCAAGGGAGGAGCCTTGTTTTGGTAATCTGCTCCCTCCACAGGTCCATTTGGTTACAGAATTGCCTTTCAGAAAGCAGCATTTAGAATGCCTCTGTTCACGGGCAGATGTGTCTAGGGCTCTCAGGATCTTTCAGCTCATCCTCTCCCTCCACTCCAGTCAATGAGCCTAAATTACCCTGAGAGAGGAAAACTGTGGGAACAGAGGGTCTGCAGGGAACATGCTGCTCTAAAGAAGCAGCAGTGTTTACCAGTTCTGGAGGGTGTCTGTGGGGCTTCAGAAACTATCTGTCCTCATCTCTTGGAAGGCTTGGGCAATAAATTTAGCCCCTGAGGGCTGATTTTCTCAACTGTCCAATGGGAACAATCCAGTCCCCTTACATTTTCAGAGCTTATAGATCACCTTTACACCCTTAGAGCTGCCTCCCTTTTGCAGAGGAGAAAAGTGAGGGCACTTGCAGTGTTAAGTATACTTTCACTAGTGCAGAAAGTACAAAGGTACAATGCAGAGCAGGGCTGGCTTTAACCTGGGCTGGGCGCTCAGTTGGATTGGGATGAAGGCGATGCTCCAGGGCCACATCAGCTGACCTAGTCAGGAATGGAGTCAGTAAACAAAGGCCCTGCTGAGTTTCTCCCATGCTGGATCTGATTTGGAACAGGGCAACAGTCTTTAACTCTGTCCTAATCTGGTGTCCACATGATTTCAGAACACATTCCTGAGTGGCCCACATGCCAGCATTTTGTAACGTTCTCCTCAGCTCTTCCCTATCTTCTTCTAACACTGAAATGACACAATCCACCCAGGAGAGAAAGGTCAGAGCTGAGGAACTTGGCAGCCCAGACATACTGAGTCCATGGGGCCACATGCAGGGGCAAAGCTATGTCTGTCTGTCCTTGGCTCTGCTATGATGCCCTTTCATCTCTGACACTGGCTTCCCTGGTTGGCCCTTCCACAGGGTCTTCCTGCTCACCCCACTTTCTCTCTTGAACAGAGAGAGCTGGTGACAGGGCCCTCCTAAGGCAGAGAGGGGAGGGTGAGCTTCTTGCTGAATGCCTGGGGCCCACTAGACCAGCCCAGCCAGTAGCCAGCAAGGACCTCTGACTGCCCTGTGGGTGCATGGTAACAGCCTCTCTGCTCTGATGGCATACTTGCAGCTTTCAGCTTTCACTTCACAAAAGCTTCATTCCCTCTTGTCTGGTTGACAGAAGCCTACCTTTGCCATGTTGGAAAGGTATATTTTTCTTTTTAGTCTTTGGACAAACACAGTAACTTTTGTAAGAGAAATACACATGACCATTATTGATACTATAGTGCCACATTCTCTTGTAGAATGGTGTGAAGAACGAGGCATGTGCCTAGATGCCTTGCTCACAGAGAAGGCTGCATGCATCCTGCTTCCACTGTCTGCTAGCACTTTCTCAACTGGCAACTTTGCTAGATACTCTCCAGTCATCCCAGAAAGACTAAGAAATCCCAGCATCTGCTATGCCTGCTTAAAGGAGGTTAGGATTTTTACCTACAAACCCTGAATTTCCTGGACTTTCTCATTTCTACAGTACCTTCCTCAGAAAATGACCAAAGGAAAGTAAAGGATGAAAAAAGAAAACATACAGAGGGAAGGATGCTTTCCTCTTGAATATATCATTTATTCATGTGACAAATATTTCTGAGGGACACTTGTACATATTTGCCCCATAAATATTTTCTGCGTGTTTGCTGAATTTGTAACAAGATGTGTCTGGCCAAATCACTGGGGACCACAGAAGATTCCAATCCAGGAGAAATCCTGATCCAGCCAGAGCCAGCACCTCCCCCAAAAGGAAAGGAGTTGCACAAAGCACTGGTTAAGAAGGGCTGAATGCAGCCTGGAAATGAACTTGGAGCTGAGATTTGATAGGCTTCCATGTCCCAGAGCAACTATAAACAAAGGCAGTGTGGTTGCACAAACCAGCATGCATTTCCCCAGTAGCTGAGCAGCTTGTGACACAGCTGGAGGGAGCTAGAACAGAGCCTGTGTAGGCTGTGGGGGCTGGATGCCCTGTCCCTGCCAAGACACTCATCATGCCCTTGCACTTGGCTGGGAAACTCTGCTCCCATCTAGAAAATGGCAGCCAGGAGAGGAACAAAGACACTGGGGTGGGGTTTGACAAACATGGTGGACATTAACACACATTGGTTGAAAAGCCAGATACTCTGTCGTGCATGGGTTTCTGGGCAAAGACTTCTTCAAAGGGAACACGTGGGGAAAGTACTTGTTCTTCTTTGCCTCACATGTGTGAGAGTGCTTGTGGGACTGGCGAACACCAGGCCTACACAGTGTTTTTTGCTTCACAGGGTCAAAGCCAGCCCACAGAAGTGGAGTCCTGAAATGGGATGTGCCTGATTGGGTGTCAGACCTTGGGATACTGTGACTGTGTGTAGCAAAGCATATGGGTCCTACACTGCTTCCATTCTTTCATCCCCAGAGTAGCACAAATGCAGAAGCCAGGAAACATCCTCAGCCCCAGGGTTATGAGCAGCCTTGGACACTGGGGCCTAACAGACTGAGCCCCTAGCACAATGGGCTGCAGTGACCAGAAGTATACCCCAGACCTGTGCCCTGACCCTGAGAGAGAGAGAAAAGCTACATGAAGCAATGGCGATGCCGGAACCCACAAGTGTGCACCCCATTGAGAGAGAGCCTGAGGATGGATACCTATTTGTATAGTTACCTTCAGCTCTAAAATTATAGATTAGAAATTATGGGGAACTTCTGGGCATGGGTTTGGGTTTTAGTGTTTCTGTAAACAAGGGAATTCTGTGTTTTGTAAACAAGGTTGGCTTGGAGCAGGGATGCTCCCCCAAATTGGGTACTCTGTTAAAAACCATTTTCCTTCTTCACCAATCCTTGTGTTACACTTGTACATGGCAGCATGTGGCAAGACCCCAGGCTGTCTGGTTACAAATTGTTGGATGAAGTAGGGCAGCCTCCATCCTCAAGGGGTTCATGCTCCAAGGATGGGTCATCAGGTATACCACTGACTTCCCAACCACAGTGTAAGTGCTCCCAAGCACTGTGAGAGGTTTAGCGGAGGGACAGGCCTGTTTGGAAGATGGTATCATCGATGGATTCACTTAGAAAGTGACATTCAGTCTGGGTTTGAATGTGTAATTTAGGGGTTAGCCAGGGGAACAGGCATGGGGAAGGCAATCTAGCCACAGAGAGGGGCAGGAAAGGCCTTTTTGGAGACACCCTGTCTTGTGTTGCTGGGAAGACCAGTAGGGGGTCTCTTGGGGAATAGGGACCAAGACCAAGCAGTGAATGATATTACCCAGTGAGAGAAGGACAATAGGCCCTCCAGGAAGCAGGGGCCATTGGATGTTTTTAATTGGCCAAGTCACTGTTTTAAAATAATCATAGGGTCTAGAGATCCAAGAAGGCAGAAGAATAAGGGGAAGCTACACTAACCTCCTTCCAGGACCAATCTGGAATTGCAACTGAATTGTAGAGATATGGTCCTGAATAACCAACTGAATACTAGCTAGAGAGAAGACTTATCACCAAGGACATACAGAAGAAACCACTTTACCACAATGAGATTGATAGGGAATGCAGAGAAGGTGAGAGAGGGATGGCTGGGCTCCTATAGGCAACAGCTGAACTTCTGAAGGGACATTTCAGCAGCTGTGGGTTTATGCCTAAGAAGTATAGGGACTAAACCACAAGCTAGTCTCCCGATCCTATATCACCAAAGCCAGAAAGGAACCTGGATAACATCCAGCTGTGAAAAGCAGCAGGGTTTCTGTCTGCCAGGGAGAGAAGGCTAGAGATTCAGAGAGCCTTTTAAAGGTGCAACACAAAAAATTTCATTTTTAGTCACTCTGAGCTCTGGCAGAGGGAGGGAAGAGTGGTCTAGAGATGCGTGAGGAGAATCTAGGGTTGGTGGCTCTGGGGAGAGAATTGAAGAAATAGCTGCCAGGATCCCTGTGCTGAGTCATTTCCCATACTGTAGGAGCCATTTTTCTCAGGCAGAACACTGCCCTCCAAGTGGAATCGGCCTGAAGAGAAGCAATAGCCCAACCCACAGTAATTGCTTTGTCCAACCCTGTGGAGCTTAAGCTGTGCTACTGATCACAAATTGAATAGTTTACTTATCAGGTTAACAACTCATTAATTTAGCAATTAAGGCAGAAAATACAAAGAATCCACCAAAATGGGAATACAAAGAAACAGACCCCAAATTAAAGAACAAAAGCATTTTCCAGAAGAACTAGATGAAAAGAAGGCAAGCAATTTATCAAATAGAGAGTTTAGAGTAATGATTATAAGGATATTCAAAAGCATGAAAAAAGACATAGAAACCATGAAAAAAACCAATCTGAAATAAAGAATGCAATATTTGAAGTAAACTATGCACTGGAGGGAATCAATAGTAGGTTAGATGAAGCAAAAGACTGAATCAGTGATTTGGAAGACAAGGTAGAAAAGAACACTCAAGCAGTGTTTGCTACTCACAGTAGCAAAAAAAAAAAAGAATTAAAAAATGAGAATTTAAGAAACATTTTGGACATATGAATTGTAACAATATTCACATCATGGGAACACCAGAAGGAGAAAAGAGTGAGCAAGGGATCAAGAACTTATTTGAAGAAATAATGACAGAAAACTTTCCTAATCTGGTGAAGGAAAAAGACACACAAGCCCAGGAAGCTTATAGAATCCCAAACAAGTTGGACCTAAAGAGGCATACACTGAGACATCATAATTAAAATGACAGGGTTTAAAGTCAAGGAGAGAATTTTAAAGAAGTAAGAGAAAAGCAGGTAGTTACCTATAAGGCAGCACCAATTTGACTCTCATCTGATTATTTAACAGAAACATTTGAGGCCAGAAGGGAGTGGTGTGAAATATTCAAGGTGATGAGAAGCAAGGACTTACAACCAGGCTACTTTATCCAGGAAGGCTAGCATTTAAAATTGAAGGAGAAATAAAAAGCTTCCTAGACAAGAAAAAGCTAACAGAGTATTTTATGTCAAACCAGTACTGCAACAAATGTTAAAGAACTTGCTTTAAGAAGAACAAAAAGAGAAAACAGGAGGGGAGGGAAGATGGCAACAGAGTAGGATGGAGAAGATTCCAGCTCCCGTACACATAGGTGAAAATCCTGGCAGATCTACAGAGAAACAGTGCAATAAACCAGTGGTTCTCGGGCATTTATGAAATTAAAAGACCAGAAATTGGGACAAATGCTGAACGACCAGACAGCAGCAGGTCAGTGAGGTCTGGGGGACCTAGATAAAGACAAGAGCAGTAGTGGGGGCCTGCACCTGCAGCCAGGTGGCCCCAGTGCTGCCTCTGCAGTCGGGGTCCAGAGGCATCGGTATGAGACCAGCGCCAGAAGCGTCTGCCACAGGAGCTCAGGCACACAGTGGCCTTGGTAGGTGACCATCCCTGGTCAGCAGCTCCCTCCCTCCCCGTCTAAGCAAGGCTTGACAACACCAGGCAGAGACCTGTCTGCTTGCGTTTAAGGGAAGGTTACAGAGACAAAGGGCCCTGTTCAACTGCAAACTCTGTGGTCGCCAGTCTGGGAGAATTGAGAAGCACATTGTCATCACAAGTCTGGCTGGGAATTGGGCTGGCCTGAGAGGCAGGCTGTCTGGAGAGGTATTTTTTTTGGAAAGTGGACTGAGGTGTTCTCCTGCCACTGAAGCTTGGCTTGCTTCACACCCAGCCTGGCGCTGATCCCACGGGGTGGTGAGCAGAGGCAGTTGAGTTCCCCTGCAAGACTGGGAAGGACTGTGCCAGTTCTGCAGGACCCAGGCAGCCTGGCAGGTGCTCAGAGGAGCGGAAGCATTTGAGTACCACCACAGTACTGGGAAGGACCCTGCCAGAACCCGTGGGACCCATGCAGCCTGGGGGGTGAACAGAGGGGCAGAAGCATTTGAGTCCCATCACAGGTCTGGGAAGGACCTTGACAGATCTTGCGGGGCCCAAGCAGCCTGGTGGGTGCACGGGCGCCTGCACCCTAGTCTGGTAGCCTGGCTAGTGCGCGAGTGCATGCACCAGCATCCCAGCCCACAGAGAGGTCCTGCTGCAACCAGAAAAACCATCTGGACAGTTTGAAACCAAGAAGGGAAGGATTTTTGTTGTTGGTTTTGTTTTATTTTTTCCTTTCTTTAGTAACTTTTCTTTTTAGTAATCTTATACTTTTTATTTTATTATTGCTTTATCTTTCAATACTTTGTTCCTCTCCTTTCTTTTTTCCTGTTTTAGTTCTTCTTCCTTTCTT